TCTCAAGGAGTGCAGAGAGGCTGAGGAGTTCATCTTCACTGTGAGGACTGTTGCAATTGCCAGGCTAAGATTAAGTGTGTCACCCTGACTGACCTAAAGGAAACAAAGGGAAATAGGTTTGGTTGTTTGACAAACCATCACCTTTTTGATAGGAAAAGAGGACAAGAACATTAACAAGTTACTGACTTTTTTTTAGTACAGGGTCTCACTATGTAGATTGGACTCATAGTGATCCTCCTGTTTTTCAGCCTTCCAAGCTCTGGCGTTACAGTGCACACCTCCACACCCAGTCTCATTCAGCGGCTCAGGGCCGGGGCTGGGACCAGGGCCCAGCACTGCAGAACAGGGAACCAATCCCAGGCCCCTGTGTCTACCTAAGCAGGAGCTTTAATCTGCTGAGCTACCTGGCCGGCCCTAAGTCGTTGATTCTTAAGCTTCATTTTGTAAGCAGCAGGGTGCAGAAAGGTTCCTCCCTCTCGCTTTTTTTTTTTTTTTTTTTTTTTTGTGGTACTAGGGATAAAACCCAGGCTTTGCACATGTTTGGTAAATGCTGTGCCACAGAGCTACATCCCCAGTCCCAGTTACCTCTTAAAGTCCATTCAGCCTTGGGGTATTATTCAATGCATGACAGAACAATGTGTAGTAATGATGAGCCTGCCAACTACTTGTGGGCCAGATCCTCCAAGTCCTCTTCAAGTGAATGATAGGTTTCACATCCCCACTCAGGTTCTGTCTTGGGCCTGTCCTGTCCTGTCCTGTCCTGTCCTGTCCTGTGCTGATGGACAGAGAGGCTTAGGCTGTGCGGAGCTTTGTGCCATCTGCTGGGAACTCTGCCTACCTACTTAGAGGAAATGGTGGTTATACTATTGCAAGGTGGTAGGTAAATCGCTTTGCTTGGAGTGGAATTCAGGCATTAACCACCTCACAGGTGCTGAGGAAGCCAACTGGGCTTGTGATTAGGTGGGGTATTTTGAGTGTGGCGCCACCTGTGGGCAGCTCTTCTGTGGCTTCCTTGGTGTCCAGTAGGCGTGCTAGTCACCTTGGGACTCTGCTGCCCTGTATTTACTCAACAGTTTGTTGGGCAGAAAGAATTACACTGTCCTCACCTTTTTATTTCCTTGCATGGTGTTCTGGTATAGGGAGCGCACATATCTTCAAAGCTTCTCATGCACACTGCAGATTTTTCTTTTAGCATGGTTGAACCAATGCATATTCTTTTTTTTTTTTGTCTTTGAGACAGGGTCTCACTGTATAGTTAAGGCTGGCCTTGAGCTCTCTTTGTAGCCCAGGCTGGTCTTGAACTCAAAATGATTCTCCTGCCTCTGCCTCCCAAGTGGTGGGATTACAGGTGCCTGCCACCATGCCCAGCTTTATAATCAGTTTTGAAAGAACTACAGCTCTTTTAAGTTTTTGAAATAAAATTCTGATTCCCACTACCCCCCAGTTTTTATTATGAACATTTGGAACCAGTTGAGAGAGCGAGACTGTGATTGCCTGCCATCTAGGTCCAACAGGTTGGTTTAGTCATGGGGTGCTTTTGCTGACCCACGTGAAGTCAGTACAGGTAGAACAACCCAGCACTCAGCCTCTCTTTCTCCATGTGCTCCTCAGCATGAGTATCCACTGTGAACCTCCAGCATTATCACACCATCAAAGCAATAATCTCTGATAGTGACTTTCATTTTCACATCTCCCCAGTTTTCTTAAATTGACTTTTACACCATTTTTCCTTTTTATTTTCATGAGGGTTTTTTTCCTCAGATATTTCTAAGTTGGCTTTGAACTCCTAGGCTCAGGCAGACGACCTGCCTCAGCTTCCTGATAGGTGGGGCTACAGGTGCACCCCTCTATGGCTAGCAGAGTGTGTGCGTGTGTGTGTGTGTGCATGTGCTCGTAAGGATTGAATTGATACCTTTGCACGGAGCTACATCGCTAGCCTAATTTTTATTTTTTATTTTGAGACCAGACCTGGCTTGCTAAGTTGCTCAGCCTGTGCCTACACTTGCAGTCCTCCTGCCTTGGCCTCACAGAGTGGTGGCGTTACAGAGATTCTCTACCATGTTAGCAGTTGATTTTGATCACATATTACAGTTGATTACCCGAAACCATCCTCTCTCTCTCTCTCTCTCTCTCTCTCTCTCTCTCTCTCTCTCTCTCACACACACACATTTATTTATTATTGTGAGACAGGGTCCTACTATATAGTCTAGGTTTGCTTTGAACTCAAGGCAGTCCTTCTGTCTCAGCTTCCCAAGTGCTGCTGTTACACACAGGCACCACTACACCTGGCTTACAGAAAACTTTTCTGTCTTAAAGAGAGACTGTCAGAGATTTGACTTCCTTTTGGGCAATGGCTGGAAAGCTCTTACCATGGTTCTATGCTAGCTTCATCATTGCCAATGAGGCTCTTCAGCCTTTCTCACCTGGCTCACCTTATCTGCAAGGTGCAGCGGATCCTGCCTTGTGGCAGCATGTGCAGGAGTAAGCAAAACAGCACACACGGATGGCTGCATTGAGGGCTCTGGATGTAGTAGTCTCAGCCAAGAAATGAATGCTGTGAAGCTAGGGAGCAGCTTTCCATGTCTGCCTGTGGTGCAGAAGTGCCTGGAGCATCATGGGTTAGACCTAGAATAACCTCCAGGAGCCTCTTGTGTCCAGAGGTGGGGCTTTTGGAAGGTGGTTGGATGGCTGGGGCATACTACTGATCAAAGGAATCATCCATGCGAGGGCTCAGAGCTGACTTGCTGGTAGGAGGCAGGGTCTGGTCAGAAGAGGCAGTCACTGGGGGTGCAACCTGGAAAGGTCCATCTCCCTCCTCATCCTTTCTCTCTGCTTCCTGGTTGCCACCAGTTGAGCACTTTTCCACTGCCAGACCCTTCCCTTTTGCCCTTCTGCCTTGGAGCCAGCCAACTGGACTAAAACCTTTAAAAACTACGAGCTGAAACAAACGCATCGTGTAAGTCATGGTAGTCAGATGTTCTGGTTTGCCAATGGAAAATTCACTGAGAAAAGAGCACAGCTTTGCTCTTTGTTCCTTTTTCTTAAGTAGACCAAGGACTTGATCATTCCACAAAAATGATCAAGTTCTGATGGTTTTTGGGAGCTCTGTCAGACAGGTGTCTTGAGCCAGCAACAGCCTTTCTCTGGGTTGGTGGAAGCAGACATGGATGTGCAGACGCAGAACCTGGCCTCAGCAGTCTCAGGTCCTAGTAACCATTTAAATAGCGATAAGATTAAAATGTACTTAAATGGGGTGAGGTGATCTGTGTACAGAGGAAAGCAGAGCTGTCATAAATCACATTTTTAGAATTGTTAAGGTTATAATTTATTCTGGTTAAGTTTATAACTTATTCTGTCATAAATGTGTGTTTGCATTTATATACATGCACATTTTGCTTAGTGTCTACTGTCTCTACTGTGCATCCAAGACTGTGCCTGCTACTGAGGTTGCCAGGGAGCAGTCCAAGGAAGGCCTCATGGGACGTATAGTGGATGATGGGTTAAGATGCTGGGCAGCTGCAGGGAGGGGCTTGTGTGAACTTAAGGCAGCTGAAGAACACTGTGGAGGAGGCAGTGTCATGTGCCTTCTAGCTGTGTGCACAGAAGAGGAGAGGATTTGGCAGAGCTTCAAGGCTGAGCAGGATCCAGGGTGGGGAAGAGGATACAGATGCAGGAGAGGTGGCATTTTACACCTCTTGCCAGTGGAGAGGAGCAGCAGGGGCCAGTGATACCTAAAGTGGGTCAGGCAGATTTGGAGAGCTGAGTCCATGGGCAGATGTGTGCTTTAGAAAGCATGGGAGCATGGCAGCAAGGCCAGGTGAGGCTCCTGTGACCAGGTGAGAATTGAATGATCAGGTCTGGGGACAGTGCTAACTTGGAGCCTGTCCTAGTAGGAGGATAGCTAGAAGTCAAGCTGAAGAGCAAGTTGAGGTTTAGAGGAGAGCCAGATTCAGGTCAAGGCAGAGCCCCTTGGGAGATGTGCAGGGCCAAGTGTGCAGACAGGTGGAGATTTAATCTTGAGAATGGGTTCCTACCAGGTAGAGACACAGCTTTGATAACAGTTCACAACCCATGGAGATTTTCCTTTTGTTTTTATTCATGCATGTAGTCCATTGTCATCCTTCACTGTGGCTGGTGTGGCCCCTTCCTCCCCATGGCTTCAAAGTGTGCCATTTGGTTTTGCTCTTGTCCCTGTGGCTTCTGCTCCTTGCCCTGTGTTGTGTTGGCCCATCTCCCAGCGTAACCTTCTCCTGGCCCTCCAGGTTCTCATCCACAAGTTGTTTACCAGAGAGATCTGGGTAGCCTGCCGCAGGCTGGGTGGATTAGACAGTGGAGTGCTTACCTAGTGTGTGCCAACCCTGGATTCTGTCCCCAGTACTTGGTGGAAAAATTTTTTTTTTCTTTTTTCTTTTTGAGACAGGGTCTTGGTATGCAGTTCAGACTGGCCTTGAGCTTATTTTGTACCCAAGCAGTTCTTGAACTCATAATGATCCTCTTGCCTCAACCTCTCAAGTGCTGGGATTCCAGGCATGTACCACCATGCCCGGCAAACATTTTTTTTTTTTTTAATATTTAGAAATCTTCTGTCCCATAGTTTGGGGGGCAGAAGCCCAGCATTAAGGTGTATACAGGGCTTACACTCCCTCAGAAGGCTCCAGGGGAGGGTCCTTTTTGGCTGCTTTTTGTTTCTGGCAGCTCAGGAATGCCCAACTCCCATTGCCCCCCTCTTCACTTGGCATCCCCCCAGTGGGTCTCAGATCTTCCTCTCTCCTCTCACTCAGTTGTGTATGCTGAGCGTGAGATACTCTCATCTCAGGACCGTTAAGCTCATGCCCTCTGTAAGCTGCTGTGGAGTCCTGGGAGTTGGGAGACCCACTTTCTCTTCTGCCTGTCCTGACAGGACCTGATGCTGATCAGTGTGCTTCCGACCTCCTTCTGACCTTGGCATTTGGGAGCGTCTGAAGCTTCTCAACCTGAACTCTCTTCCTTGTTTCCCCCAGGCCATAGGTGCTGCTGCTCACCTGTCTGCTCCTCTCTGGACCTGTGGCTCTGCTCCTTCAGGTGGTCAGGTGGGAAGTCTGTGTCCCCTGCTCGTGTCCTCATTAACTTGCTTGTCGCTATGCCTCAATGTGTGGAACAAAGTCCAACTTATAACTAGCCTTTGCTGGAGGCAGGAAGGAGTATGTTATTCGCCCCTACATGCTAGGTTTGGTCGTGTCCTCCGGCTTCCAGCTGGGAAGTGGATGCCACTGGAGAAAGCCCAGGTCTCAAGTGTTCAGGAGGTTGCTGCCACTACTGGTGGTGGCTGGAATGTTGTTCTCTTGAACCATCCTCAGAAAGACATATTGCTAATTTCTTCTGTCTGCACAGCTCAGACTTTTTTTTGCTTTAGAGTCTCCTGAGACATCACTATCACTATACCTCCTCTGGTGACCTTTGGTGGTCTCACCAGTGTAGAACACATGGTAAGATGGCCTTTCACCTCCATGGTGAGTCCCGGACCCCTGACATGCACCGTGACATTGCTGGTATGCCAGCTGGGGTTCAGCCCACCTTCTGTACTCTGCTCTGAAATGCCTCTCTGCAGCCATGTCACAGATGCTTGTCATGGCTCCTGGCCCAACATTCAGGCTCCTTAGTGTTATTTTGATATTATATGTTCTTAAGCAAATGGTCATTAAGTATTACTTAAGTATAAATATTAAACAAATGTTTGAGTGTCTGTGCAATGCATGAGGTTTTCCAGGAAATCCATTTTGGGCTCCTTTTGCATTTGGCTTTCTAGCCACACCTGCCCTTGGGGCATTGTCTCTCCATCTTATCGTGCCACCAGATCTTGCTTACATAGCTTTTCTCTGAGAGGCTGCCCTGGCCCTGCAGCCTCTTCATGCTGCCTGCCCTTTCTTGTCACCATCCCTTTGGCATCCATGTCTGGCATGTGAAAGCACGCTCTGGTTTCTGTGGTGATGGCAAGCGCAGTGAGATGAGTGATTGCTGAATAAGAAGGGAGTAGCTGTGATAGCAGGTTAAAGGGCAGCCTTGCTCTGCACGTGAGACCTGTGCCTCAGAAATGCTACCTGAGTGCTGGGGCCTAAGGAAAAAAGGGAGGCCGGACCCCCTAACTGTTCCTCCTCACCTCTTGTTTTCCAGACACTGCCTGCTTTGCACTCGAGATGATCTGATGTCTTAAGACAAACGCTCACTAACCATGATGGCCACACAGACACTGAGTATAGACAGCTATCAAGATGGGCAGCAAGTGAGCGCCTGATTTTATTCTGCATGCTAGTTGCTGCCTGTGGGCCTGGCACCAGATGGTGGACAGTGCTCTGTGTATTCATCGTTCAATATCTGTGAGGTTGCATATTCAATCTTCAATATATTATGCTTTGCTCTATGTTGGCATCCAGAAAGATAAGCTATAGAATTATCCAGATTAGTTCTTCAAGTAATACTAAACTTGCTAGTAATTTTAGCACCCCCCCCCATAGTTTTTTTTAAAGTAGTGCTAGCATTGTGGCTTTTGAAGAAAAGCTGGATGCTTATATAGCATATAGAAGTCCCTGAATTAGCATTTTTATTTTATTATTTTGCAGTACCAGGGATTGAACTCAAGACCTTGTGCATGCCAAGCAGGCTCTTATGCTGCTGAGCTATTTCCCTAGCTCTGGATTTTTTTTTTTTTGTTTGTTTATTTTAGGGAAGGATCTACAGGGTGTTCAGGGTCTCACTACTAGATCAGACTCATAGTGATTCTCCTGTTTGCAGCCTCCCAAGAGCTGGGATTACAGGTGTGCGCCACCATGCCCAGTCTCATTTGCCATCTCAGTGCACCCTGGGCATGGAGCCGTCACAGCAGGCCCAGAGATCAAACCCCTGGCCATGCACCTGTTTGCAGGCGCTTTAATCCACTGAGCTATTTGGCCAGCCCTTGGATTAGTATTTTAAAAGAAAAGAAAATTTGTGTTCTTGAGCTTTCGAGCCCCTCTTTCTTCCCTTTGTTTTTTTGGTGTTGTGAGGAACCCAGGGCTTGGCATATGCTTGGCAAATAATAAACTACTGAGTTATTTCCTTAAATAGTGTCAGTCTGTTTGTGGTACTGGTGGTTGAACCCCATGCCTTTGCACTGTGCTACTCCCCAGCCCTTTTTTTATATAAAATGTTTTATTTTGAGAAAATGTGCTCTAGATTGCCCAGTTGAGACTTGAACTTGCAGTCTTTCTGCCTGAGCCTCCCAGAATGCCCAACCTGATTTTGCTAATCATAAATTCTCATGTTGGTAGTCACAAAACTGAGAGCTTGGGAGTTCTGAGGTTTCATCTGCCCAGGAATACAGGTGTGAGGAACTGTCCCAGTAACCCATCTAGCAGAGTCAGTGTTGATCTTCCTGCCTTAGGTATGCTTGGATGGCTGCTCTGTGACATGGGTGGCTCCTTGACTGTCCACTCACGGTGGATGGGGCTCCTTCTTGCTGCAGTGCATTGTGTCTGTGTGTGTGGGGTGTTGCGTGCTCTGTGACCTGCAGCAGTTGAGGAAGGGGAGCTCAGCCGAGGCACTGAGAGTGCTGCCTGCCCTGTGTGTTCTGCACTAGAGCAGCCCTGCCTTCTATGCTTCTGCTGAAGGTGGGAGTCACAGGCCCTTTGCTCCCTGCTGCTCTGTAGAGGGTTGAGTAAGATCAGGGCAGAAGCCTGGCCAGTCTGTCAGCAGGCGAGCCCATCCCTCAGTCCTGTCCTGTCTGCTCATGGGCAGCTAGAAGTTAATTACAGCAAATTTGATTTGCTGTTTTAGGAAACTGAGTTGTTCAAGGATATAAATATATTTTATATAAGTGACAAATACATAGCTTATTTAAATCATATATCTTTAAGACTTTTAAGTAAACACAGCTGTTCTTCAACTTTCTGAATGCAGTGGGCTTCCCTAATATGTGTGTGTCTGTGTCCCTGTATATGTGTGTAGGCACATATCCACACTGGAATATCATACCCATGCTTTGTGCATGCCAGATACATACTCTACTACTGAGCTGAATCTTTTTTTTTTTTTTTTTTTTTTTTTTTTTTTTTTTTTTTTTTTTTTTTTTTTTTTGGTGGAACTGGGGATTGAACTCAGGCCCTTGTGCTTGCCAGGGAAGCACTTATTCCATTGAGCCATCTCCCCGGCCCCTGAGCTGAATCTTGAGATCATGTAAAATTTTTTTATAGCTAACAGCTTAAGAGTGGTAGCAGAAGCATTATAATCCCAGCATTCTGGAAAGCTGAGGTAGAAGTCCAATCTGAGCAATTTAGAGTCTTAATGATACCCTGTCTTCAAAAAATAAATTAAAGGTTAGGGATATAGCTAAGTGCAGAGACCTTAGGTTCATTTCCCAGTACTGGGGCAGAAGGCTGTGTAGGATAGATTTGCGAGATTTCAGCCTTGTCAAAAATATGTAGCCTAGAGGGCCAGCAAGATAGCTCAGCAGACTAAGTGCCTGCTTAGGCAAGCACAGGGACTAGAGTTTAATCCCTGGAACCACAGGCCATGCTAGCCCTGCCCATGGACGCACTGAGCTGGCCGTGAGTCTGGGCGTGGTGGTGCATGCCTATAATCTCAGTACTGAAGAGGCTGAAAACAGGATCATTAGGAGTCCAAGCTGTGTAGTGAGACCCTGTACCAAATACATAAATTAAAAATATATATATTTATCATATTGAATTTTGAGTTTTTAGAAGACACAAGAGTTTGGAGTACAGTGGTATTTCTTTTCACAAACACTTTCGTTTGTAAATAGTTTGGTTCACAAACATTTGGTGGATGGCACGGTACACACCTGTAATCCAGCACTCAGGAGGCTGAGGCAGAAGGTTCATTGCAAGTTTGAAACCAGTCTGGGCTACCAAGTGAGCTCAAGGCCAGCCTGAACTACATAGTAAGACACTGTCTCAAAAAAAGAGAAAAAAAGCATTTGACAAATTTTGTTTTCGTTTGCTAACTATATTGGATAACAGAAACAACCATGGCCATCTGTCCTACACAAAAACAATCATGCCATCTCTTCCAGAATTGTTGAACAAATTAAGTTTATGAACTGAGGTACCACTGTATGTTATTTTCCCTCTCATTGTATTAACATGAGGCTACATAACAAGAAGACATAGAAGATTTAACATGTAGAGTTTTCCTTGATGGTATATAATTGTAATTTTTAAATCATAAGCATTTCTCAAGTATTTATTATCTTCATTCTTAAGCAGTTTGTAAATTTGACTTTTATGTTACCCATGTTTAAAGCATATTAAATTCAAAGGAGTTTTATTGGTACTATAGTATTCTCTGTTGCCAGCCATAGTGAGTATTTGACAGTTCACATTAATGTGTCTGATTGTTTTCTTGTTTGGAATAGAATGTAATTTGTTTTGTGTTCAATAACAGAAATTCTCCTCCTTTTATAGATGCAAGTGGTAACAGAGTTAAAAACGGAGCAAGATCCAATCTGCTCTGAACCGGATACGGAAGGAGTGAGCCCTCCTCCCGTGGAGTCTCAGACCCCGATGGATGCGGACAAGCAGGCCATTTATAGGTAGCACCAGGGTGTGGGCGCATGGGTTTTCAGAGGACTAGTGGAAGCAAGCATGGCTGATGCCATCCAGAGCTGGTGGCAAGGCAGGGTTGCACAGTGCTGCTGCGGAGTGGTTCAACACCTCCTCGGGGGAAAACTTCACTGGGTGAAGTTGATATTACTTCTAACAACTAAAAGAATGTTTTGTAGTATCAGTGTATATTTTTAGGTAATCTTGCCAAAAGAAATCCTTAAGCGCATATGGTCTTGTGTGTTTGTTGGTGTTGCTGGGAATCAGACCCAGGGCCTTGATCATGCTAAGCAAGGGCTCTAACACTGAGCTACACCCCAGTCCAGACTCAGGGTGGATTTGTGGGAGGATTCCACCAAACACATGAAAGAGAAAAGAACATTGAGTCTGCACAGTCTCTTCCAGACTACCAAAGAGGGAGAAATGCTACTCAACTCATCAGAAACTGACTTACTCTGACACTGGCAGAGAAACATAGTATAAAACAAAATACAGACCAGCAT